TGTGGCAATGCCTTTGCTGAAGCAGCTGGAGAAAGATGGAGCCGTTAAGGGTCTGAAGCTGAACGGACAGCCACCCGATGACAACTGTGAAATCTGTTTGCTTTCAAAGTTCACCCGTTTCCCTTTCCATAGTGTGGCTGGCAGGAGCAAGAAGCCTTTGGAGCTGGTCCACATGGACTTGGTGGGGCCGCTGCCGGTGCAAGGGCACAAGGGGGAGCGGTATTTTCTTACAATTGTGGATGACTGGAGCAGGCTGATGTGGGCGTATCCGCTGAAGCAGAAGGACCACGCCGCCTCCACGATACGGGACGATTGGCTGCCATTCGTGGAGAAGCAGGCGGAGTGTGTAGTGAAGCGGATTAGGACAGACCGGGGTGGTGAGTTCCTTGGAGCTGAAATGACGGCCTGGCTCAAGAAGCAGGGCATCCAGAGAGAGCTGACCACGGCTTATACCCCACAGTCCAATGGTGTAGCAGAACGGGCAAACCGGACCATTCTGGAGACAGCTAGGGCGCTGCTCATAGAATCTGGGCTGAGCAACTCTATGTGGCCTCATGCTGTCCGGCACGCCACTGTCGCTAGGAACAGGGTGCTCACCAAGGTTGGGGATGACTCGTGGGTGCCGTTGGAGAGGTGGCTTGGGAGGAAGCCGCCGGTGGACATGCTGAGGGTGTTCGGTTGCATGGCAGTCGCCCACGTCCCCAAGACCTACCGCAGTAAGTTGGGGGCGAGTGCAATCTGGTGTGTGCATTTGGGGCTGGCTGCTGAGAGCAAGGGATGGCTGCTGTGGGAACCATCCAAGGGTGTGTTGTTTGACAGCAGGGATGTGAAATTCATTGAGGGCATGATGTATGGGAGCTGGGAGAAACAGCCGGAGGCAAGGGTGTCCCAGCAGATGGAGCAGATCACCATGCAGCTGGACCTGACTCCTAGTGTGTGGGAGGAGGGAGAGGAGGCAGCTGCTGGAAATGGTGATGGAGAGAAGGTACAGGAGGCATCTGCTGGTGGAGAAAATGGTGTGGAAACTGGCGGCAGCACTAGTGGAGCTGCTGGACCCGAGGGAGGAGAGAAGCAGCAGGGAAAAACTAAGAAGCTGAAGGGTGTCGTTATGAAGGGATGGGAGACACCCGTCTCCAGGCCAGGACGTACCCGTATGGCTACTAAGAAGCTGACTGCAGGAACTGATGCAGCAGAGCAGCAGCTAGGGACCGAAGAGGCATTGCTGATTCTACCTCATGGCTATGACCCGGATGAGGAGGATGAGCCTGCGTACTGTTTTCTTGCCCCTGCACCAGAGGAACCAGCTAGCATGGAGGAGGCATTAGCTGGACCAGATAGGGACAAGTGGCTGGCTTCTAGGGATGCTGAGTACCAGAGTCTGCTGGAGAATAGGACATGGGATCTGGTGGTGCTGCCTGATGGGAAGAAAGCAATACAATGCAAGTGGGTGCTGAGGATCAAGACCGATGACAAGGGGCAGGTCACCATCTACAAGAGTAGGCTGGTGGCGAAGGGGTTTATGCAGAAGGAGAAGCAGGACTTCAACGAGATCTTTGCTCCCACTGCCAAACCCCCTACCCTCCGTGTCTTGTTGGCAGATGCAGCTGTTAGTGGGAAATTCATCATTCAGATGGATATTTCAACGGCATTCCTGAATGGGATTTTAGAGGAGGATGTGTACATGACGCAGCCGCCTGGGTATGAGGATGGTACGGGCAGGGTGTGCAAGCTCAACAAGTCCATCTACGGCTTGAAGCAGGCGCCACGCTGCTGGTACCAGAAGTTGGCAGCTGTTTTAGAGGAGATTGGATTCAGGACCAGCAGTTGTGATGAGAGCCTCTTTCTCAAGGGCGAGGGGGAGAAGCTGGTGCTGTTTCTGGTCTATGTGGACGACATTCTTCTCTTCAGCAGCAGCATGAAGGAGATCCAGAAAGTGCAGCAGCAACTGATGAAAAACTTCAAGTGCAAGAACCTTGGGGAGGTAAAGTACTACCTCGGGATGCACGTGGAGAGGGATCCAGATCACAGGTGGTTGAAGCTGCACCAGGAGAAGTTCATCAAGGAGCTGGGGGAGAAGTATGGGATTGAGAATGAGCGCAAGGTTGCAACTCCCCTGCCAGCAGAATTCAAGCTTGTGAAGGCTGCAGAGGATGAAGGGGTTGAAGCTGAAGAGCAGCAGCAATTTCAGTCCTTGGTGGGCAGCCTCTTGTACGCAGCAGTTCACACGAGGCCCGACATCTCTTTCTCGGTTGGGCAGCTGGCTAGGGTGGTGCAGAATCCATCAGAGGAGCAGGTGGATGCAGCTGAGCGTGTGGTGAAGTACCTGAACTCTCACCCAAGCATTGGAGTTCAATACTCCGCATCTGCACAGGTGAAGCAGAAAGGGGTGGAGGTGCTGAAAGAGAAGGGGGAGAGGCTTGGAGAAGGCAAGCTATTTCTCACTTGCTTTACCGATGCTACATGGGCTTCTGAGAAGGAGGATTCCTCATCTGTGGGAGGATACATCTGCGTAGTTGGGGGAGGACCTGTTAGTTGGAGGTCCAAGAAGCAGACGGAGACGGCACTCTCTTCCGTAGAATCAGAGTACATGGCGATGTTCCATGGGGTGAAGGAGGTGATTTGGCTGAGGAGGCTGTTAGAGGAGATTGGCCAGGAGCAGAAAGTTGCTACGCCGCTGTTTTGTGATAGCAAGGGGGCTCTTGGGATGGCCAGAAACGCTGTGCTTCATGGGCTGAACAAGCACATGCGTATCAAGTGGCACTGGCTGCGTAAGGAGGTGAAGAGGGGGACGGTGAATCCAATCTACATCAAGACTCACCAGCAGCCAGCAGACTTTCTCACCAAGAGGCTTGCGGATGAGCCTCATTGGCGTTGTGTGCGCATGAGTGGAATGAGCATGAACTAGCATGGAATGACGGGGATACAGCCGGCAGGCTGAGGGGGAGTGTGTTGGGTGCAAATGCACATTGCACGACATCCTGCCGTCTGCGTGTGCGAATGCATTTGCGTGTGAATGGAATGTTCGTGTGTTTGTTTGCTTTCGCATTTTTCGCTTGATGCATTTGCAGGTACTCGCGCAATGTGCGCTTTGGCACAACATTGTATGCGCTATGAACAGTGCAAGCAGAAAGGACGAGCTCGCAAAGGAACCCAAGATGGAAGCTTTGCAGTTCGGTTGAGTTGATTGCGCAGATTCAGTTCTATCCAACTCGAAATTGTACTGTTTTGTTTGGTTAACTATAGTGTAGCAGGGAAGGCACTATAGGGGTACAATTTAGGTGAAGGTTGGATGTTGTTTGTCTGTATCTGCATGCTACAAGGCCAGGGAAAACCAGCGGAACCAGCATTTGGCTGGTTGGGCAAAGACAAAACAGGTTCTGTTTTTAGAACCTGAACCTGGTTGTTGTTTTCCCAGGTTGGAAAAACAGAACCAGAGGTTGTTTACCAACCTACCACCTGCTATTTTGTCCAGCCAGGTTGGTTCTGTTGCTTGGAATTATTTGGGATCATCCCTGGTTGTTCCCAGGTTGATTCCCAAGGTCCTTGCTAGCTAGAACTATTTAATCCTTCTCTGTTTGTACCTGAATATAGTCAAATTGATTCAAGCGAATTCCTTCCTCGCTGGAATTTCGTTTCTGCGCTATTCGACGGCGGAATGCTACCCGAGTCAACGCTAGTATGCTAGCACTCCAACGCTAGGCAAACGCTGTCCGAGCCAGAACTTAGTAATGGCAGAACTTTTCGCGAGGCAACTTGGCTCATTTTAAAGCTCTTGGAGCGAGCTTCGATATAGCGAATTCTCAGCTTAATCCGACCGACGGTCTGCACGGCACGCTGCGCGACGTTCAAGGTACTCTTGCTGTTTTGACTAAGTCCTTCTTGATCCCTCTCTCTACAAACTCGGACCCGAGGATAGGGGCTGGTCTTGTACCAGGCACCCAGGGACCCTTGGAGGTGACCCCGAGGAGAGGTTTTAAGTTTGATTAAGTCCTAATAGCTTGAGTTTATTAGGCCCTTACACCAACAAAACCGGTACCAGGTAATATGGGGACCCTATTGCGGAGCGTTGATACGAGTTGAACATTCAGAGGAATTAATATTCTCTCCCAGCAGCACGGTGTTAATGCAACCAACCGTTCCGCACAGGAGAAGCCTACACAACTGCAAAGGCTTAGGGGAAGGTTCCAGGCACAGGAGAAGATGAATCGGCCTCGGATTAATCCTTCTAACCCTGCTTAATTGAAAACTGATATTGAGTCAGCAGCTTCGAGCGCTGGAACTAGGGATGATACATTCGATGTACCTTACGATCTTGAAAGCAAGACCATCTACAGCTACTCGGAACAGCAACAACCACTACTCCTCGAGGTGATCTGCAACGGGCGACGCCTCCAGGCACTGGTGGACAGTGGTGCGTCCCATTTGGTGTGCGACCGCGGGACGTTGGAGAAAATTGGAGAGTCATCGGAGGAGACCCAGTTTACAGCAACGATGGTGGACGGTACGAAGCTTCCCATCCACGGCGAGTCAACACTGCAGCTGCAGATAGGGGCGTTAAGCTGGAAGCTGACGTTGCCGATCACGAACATCAAGGGATTAGACTTCATCTTGGGGCATGATTTCTTGAATCGGTTCAACCCCGATATAGACTGGATCGGAAGGCAAGCATCTACAACAATGGAAAACATGTGGAGCTGCGAAGATGGATCGATACAGGCGATGTTCCTCAAACGACACTTGCACGGTTCAAACGGACGGTGAACGTGGGTAAGACTGGTTACCTAGTACTGGATATGGCAATAGCAGAGGAGGAGAAGCCGAGTCTGGAGCTACATGCAGTAGTACAGGAGGTCTTGGAGCAGTATAAGGATATCATGCCAGACGACCTGCCTGCAGGAGTACTTCCACCGCGCACCCATGAGCACGAGATCGTGGAGGAACCAGGTGCAAAACCCGTCTCCCGTGTACTATACCGCCTTAGTCCGACCGAACTGACAGATATGGAAAAGCAAATAGAGTATCTATTAGACAGACAACTGATCCGCCCATCCACCTCTCCCTACGGCGCACCGGTTCTCTTCACTCCAAAGCCAGACGGTAGTTTACGGATGTGCATCAACTACCGCGCACTGAACAAACAGACAGTCAAGAACAAATACCCCATACCGCACATAGACGATCTTCTCAATCAACTGCATGGTGCAACAGTATATTCGAAGCTGGACCTACGGTCGGGTTACTGGCAGATCAAGATGGCAGACAACTCGATCCACAAGACGGCGTTCCGTACCAGATACGGCTCCTACGAATACTTAGTGATGCCGTTCGGACTCTGCAACGCACCGGCGACGTTCCAGGCGGAGATGAACCACATCCTACGGCCCCTGCTGGACGAGTGCGTAGTAGTGTACCTGGACGACATTCTCATCTACTCCAAGAACATGAAGGAGCAAGTGGAGAATCTGCGGGAAGTCTTTGAGATCCTGCCGAAAAACAAGTTTTACGTGAAGCTGTCGAAGAGCGACTTCGCACTAAAGAAGGTGCAGTTTCTCGGGCACATGGTGAGTGCGGAGGGCATACACGTGGACTCGCGGAAGATCAAAGACGTTAAAAAGTGGAAAGTACCGGAGAACATGAAGGAGTTACAGCACTTCATAGGCTTCGCCAACTACTACTACAGATTCGTGCCGCAATACGCTAAGATAGCAGCGCCACTGACCAACCTACTGAAAAAGGATACGCCCTACAAATGGGATACTCCTCAACAGCAAGCCATGGAGCAGCTACAGACAGCACTGACCACAGCGCCAGTACTCATCCTACCGGATCCAAACATAGATGACGTGGTGTAAGTAGATGCTAGTGACCAGGCAGTCGGAGCAGTACTGATGCAGGATCACGGACGCGGTTTGCAGCCCATCGCCTACCTCAGTAAGAAGCTACACGGAGCAGAACTGAATTACCCCATCCATGACAAGGAAGCCTTAGCGATAGTCACAGCCTTCAAGGCGTGGAGGTGCTACCTAGAGGGAGCCAAGACCACAGTTTACACTGACCACTGCAGCCTCAAATACCTGAAGTCGCAGCCGACGCTTTCACGACGACAGGTGCGGTGGGTGGACTTCTTGGAGACACACTTCCACTACAACATCGTCAACAAATCCGGGCTACACAACAAGGCAGACGCGTTGAGCCGCCCCGGACATGTAGCAGGCATCCAGCTCGACGGGATGAACCCTCTACTCAAGGGACTATTCCAACATGGGTGATCCGTGGATGCAGAGATTGCTACAGCAGAGAAACAGAAGCTATTACAGTGGGAGAAAGACTTAGCTGTAAGAAAGGGATCAGGAAAGATTTGGGTGCCGAACTATGCCCCCCACCGACAGATCTTGCTGGAGGAGTTCCAAAATGTGGCATACGCGGGACATTTTGGGAGCAACAAGACGTTAACAGGAATAGCGAAGTACTATTACTGGCCCCGGATGGTAGCAGACGTGTAGCAATTTGTCACCTTTTGCGACACGTGCCAACGGATGAAGAGTAGCAAGCAGAAAAAAGCAGGATTACTTCAGCCTCTACCCGTACCGGAGCAACTATGGAAAGTCGTCAGCCTAGAATTTATCATTGGGTTTCCTTCGACCTCACGAGGGCATGACGCTATACTCGTGGTGATCGATAAGTTCTCTAAAATGGGAGATTTCTTTCCGACCAACGCCACGGCTACAGCTGAAGCAACTGCTCGCCTCTTCTTCGACCGCATCATTACCATCCACGGCATCCCCGCTACACTCATCTCAGACAGAGACCCAAAGTTCACTAGTAAGTTCTGGAGGGAATCCATGGATTTGTTGGGGACAAAGCTTGCAATGTCTTCAGCGTACCACCCCCAGACTGACGGACAGACTGAGCGACTCAATCAAGTGGTTGAACAGTTACTGCGCATAGCTTGCAAAGACGACATCAGCCACTGGGACTTACAGTTACCCACTCTTGAGTTCGCTTACAACAACCCGTCATATGCGGCCACAGGGAAATCTCCTTTCTTCCTGTGCTACGGACGGGAACCACTTACACCACAGCAGCCAACCACACCGGCACACGTCCAAGCCGCACACAACTTCGTCACCACCATGCAGCAGCTATGGGAGAAGACTCAGCGACATCTCACCACGATGCAGAACTCCCAGAAGCAGTATGCCGATTGACATCCACAAGATCACGCAGTAGCAATCGGAAATCAGGTGCTTCTTAACACACGCAACTTAGACTTGTCTCACCTTCCATCCAAGCTCCGGCCTCGCTTCTGTGGTCCCTTCCGCGTTGAGGCGATGGTGACTCCAGATACATTCCGCTTGCGCTTACCTACTACGTGGAAGCTTCACAATGCTTTCCATGTTCAGCTGCTGAAGCCCTACAAGGACTCCAACCAGCAGTTCCAAGGAGGGCACCTACCGCCACCACCAGCAGTTCTCGTACAGGATGAACCAGAGTACGAGGTGGAACGAGTGCTCGCTCATCGACGCAGACGATGCAACACGCTCGAGTTCCTGATATGCTGGAAGGGATACGACCCATCGGAAGACAGTTGGGTTGCAGAAGCTGATATGGGCAACGCACGCCATGCTCTCAAGGACTATCTTGTCAAGCAGGGTGTATCTCACGCCACCCAGCTTTGAGGGGGGGACGTCTGAGAGTATGACGAATTTACTAGACTTTGCTTGCTTGATTCTTCTTGAGTACGCATTATCTAGCTTAGCTTTATTTTATCTTGCATGCTTTTGCTTGATTTCCTAGGTTCGTTGCTTTTACTATAGTTATTATAGTTATAGGCACCGAACTAGGTTGAGTGCACCGAATTCTAGGCTTTTCGGTTGCCACCGAATCGCCTTCTACCGAATTTGGGAAGGACCCGTTCGGGACGCTTCGCGACCCGCGGAACCTTTTAAGAATACCTGGATTACTGCATTTGTTTCGAGCCTATATATAGCCTCGCCTTGTACCCAGGTGGATGATTGAATAGATTTATCTTTCCTGAACCAGATCCCCACAGTGGTCAATGAGGGGGACGTCGACCTAGAAGGGGGTGCCGACTTGGGGACGCCGACCTTGGTGTAGCTAGCGTCTAGCAGGTCCAATTGGCTAGAAATGGTCGACCTAGCAGGGCGCCGACTTTATGGCGCCGACCTGGGGAGTAGCCGACTTCGTAAAGTCGGCCAAGGGGTGGTCGTCGACCTGGATGGTCGTCGAGCACGATGTACAGCAGCTGGGCAATACCTGCCATACAAGTCGGCGCCAACTTGGTTATCCAGTCGACTAGGTTACCCGAGCGACGGGGATTTGTGGAGGCACGGCATTGTCGCTTAGGTGGATCTGGCGAAGCCGACCGCGGAGGTGGTATCCCAAGGTTGACGTGGCGGATCTGGTGCAGTCTCGTACCTTGACAGTGGGTACGTGGTCGGCCTGGCGTCTGAATTGGCACGTCATGGGGCACAGCATGCATACCCTGAGCAATAGGTGCAACTCTGAGACGGGTAATGCACCAGAAGCTGCTTGTCATGTGAGGTCGACTCTTCGATCAGGTGACGCCAGCGAAGCTTTTCACCGACATGCTGCTTCACCAAACCTTTGACCTCGTCTGTATCCATCCCCGTAACAGGGTTCACCAACCGATGGAGACAGCACCCTCCCTTGAAGGCCGATCTCCCCCGTTTCTCCAGCTTCACCTTCACCAGCATCTCACAGAGCATCTTTGGCGTATCACAGCGTCCACCCCCTTAAATAGGACCTCCACAAGCGTCGGGTCCGCGGCACGCGCCTTCATATACGCCAGGTCAACTGGGTGCTGCCAGTCTAGGTTGATCCGCTTCCCATCAAGACACGCGTGCACAATCTCATGCTTCCAGATGAAGTTGGCGTCGCGAGCCCGCTCGTAGGTAACCTGCAGCCGACAATACTGCGTCCTGTTCAGGTATGTTGCGTCAACTTCTAAAATTTGGTCATCTCTTGAATCTCCATCTTCAAGTCCTTCCTCCACAAAGTAAATAGCGCATGCAAAGACGCTTGCGCACGTGTCGCCTCTATCTGAAGACAACGGGGATCAGCAGGATGATGCAAAATTAATCCGCTGCGCAACCTTGTCTTTTGCATTCGCGTCGTAGCACTCGTGAGGGTCATCACTCAGGTACCCGTCATCCTCCTCTTCACCGTCGGGATTAACCACATTCTTACGCTCCTCTTGCTTCTCCTGTTGCGCTTTGTCACCACGCGATCCTCGAGCAGGCTTAAACTTCTCAAATCCCTCGTTATGCTATACCATGACACCAGACCCCCCGGCAGCAAGTACAACTCCCGACAACACTCCCAGAGAACAGAGGAAGTAAGTACAAGCAAGAGGAGAACAAATACAACAAGTACAACACACAAGCATGCACCATGTGCTGCAGTCAGGCATATCACCGCTCCATGTGCTTGAGGTTGCCCTGCAGCCGACTCGTTGTCCACCTGAAGGACGGTCAGCGTCCCAGTGTCCAGCTGCTGGAACTCTGCAAGGAGGAAGCAAGGACGGAGCAAACAAGCAACACACAACTCCCGTTGACATATGTAATACAATTACGTTAAGTACTAACCACATAGGGTAAGTAACGCACTCACTCTTGATACCAACCACATGAGTAAGTTACGCATTTATATGTAGTACCAAGCACATGGGTAAGTGGCTCACTTAATTTTATTATAAATCACATCGGTCAGTAGCACGCTTACTCTTAGTACCAACCACATGGGTTAGTAACAAAATTACTCTTAATATCCAAAGCATGGGTAAGTAAACCACTTACTCATATTAATGACATGGATAAATAACACACTTACTCTTAGTACCAACCACACGGGTAAGTAGCGCGCTTACACTTAGTACCAACAATATGGGTAAGTAATGCACGTACTCTTGGTACCAACAGCATGGGTAAGGAATGCACCTACACTTAATAACCAGATGGGTAAGTAACGCGCTGAATTAATAATGCACTAATTCTTAGTACCAACAACATAAGTAAGTAGCGCACTTGCTTTTAGTACCAACAAGACAGACAAGTAATGCACTTACCCTTAGTACCAAATACATGGGTAAGTAACGCAATTACTCTCAGTATCAACCACATGAGCAAGTAACGCACTGACCCTTACTACCAACCACATGTTGAAGTACTGCACTTATGCTTAGTACCAACCACATGTGTAAGTAACACACCTACTCTGACTACCAACAATATGGGTAAGTAACGCACTTACTTTGACTACCAACGACATAGGTAAATAACGCACTTACTCTTAGTACCAACGGCATGGGTAAGTAACCCACTTACACTTAGTACCAACTACATGGGTAAATAACGTACTTACGCTTACTACCAATGGCATGGATAAGTAACGCACTTTATGGGAAAAAATGCACTTACTCTTAGTACCAACCACATGGGTAAGTAACGCACTTACTCTTAGTACCAACCACATGGGTAAGTATCGCACTTACTTTTTGTACCAGCGACATCGGTAGGTAGCCCAACTACTCTGAGTACCAACCACATTAGTAAGTAACGCACTTATTCTTAGTACCAAACATGCGAGTAAGTAGCGTAATTACCTTTAGCAGCAACCACATGGGTAGGTTACGCACTTACTCTTAGTACCAACCACATCGGCAAGTCACACGCTTAATCTTAGTACCAACAACATGATTAAATAACACACTTACTCTAAGCAACGACATGTGTAAGTAAAGCATGTACTCTTGGTACTTAAGTAAAACATGTACTCTTAGTACCAACCACATGAGTAAGTAACGCACTTC